GTTTCTGTTCATGTTTATTCTCATCTCCTGTCAACCTGCACCTCTGCCTGCTCACTTCACCACACACCCTCAGCTTATCACAGCAATCAGCCCTGATTCCACTCACCTGTTCAGCTCATCTGGTTCACCTGCTCTGCACCCTTCATAAGATCCATTTTCCCTCTCCACCATTGCAAGATTATTACACCTTCCATGGTCCCTGATTTTCAAGCCTTCATAGTTTCATGCCTGAACCTCAAGCCTTGTTCTCTGGATTATTGACCTCACGCCTGCCTTTTGGATTTCCCATTTTTTGCCTGCCCCTCATCTGGTTCTGTTCTGCCTCTCTGACCACGGTAACGATCTCCTCTTCAGTCTATGACCTCGACTCACGGATCACCCTTTTGGATTACCCTTTGAACCACAAACTTTCATTGCCCCACTGTCCATAGCATTAAAGGCCTCCCTCTGCAGTTACCAGGAGCCTTATTAATAAAAGCTGTTAATTTTTGCACTCCTGTGTCTGGCTTATTTTGAATCCAAAACCTTGTTTTGTGACACTGCAGGGGCAAACTGTTCCACAGCCTTGGGGCCACTGACTAAAAGGCCCTGTTCCCTTTAGTTTTCAACCGCGTATGTGAAACATCTAAGAGATTCTATGAGTCTTGACCCTCTCTAGGGTCCTCGAGGGGTCATGGGAGTTTGCCCATCCAGTCTACATGTGTTTTGTGGACTTGGAGAAGGTATTCGACCGTGTTCGTTGGGGTACACTGAGAGGGGTGCTCCGTTAGTATGTGATTGGGGGCCAGTTGTAACGGGCTGCTCAGTTTCTACACAAGCGGTGCAAGAGTTTTGTTCGCATTGCCAGTAGAAGTCAGACCCCTTCATGGTGGGAGTTGGACTCCACCAGGGCTGCATGTTGTCACAGATTCTGTTCTTAACTTTTATGGACAAAATTTCTCTGTGCAGCAAGGGGGTGGAGGGATTACAGTTAAGTTAGTTGGAAAAAGGACGATTGCTCAGTTCAGGTCAATAGTGAGGTTCTTCCTCAAGTGGAAGAGTTCAAGTTTCTTGGGGTTTTGTTCATGAGTGAGGGAAGAATGGAGTGTGAGATTGACAGACGTATTGGTTCAGTATCTGCAGTATTGTAGACTCTGTACCGGTCCATTGTAGTGACAAAGGAGCTGAGCTGTAAGGCAAAAGTCTCTGTTTACCGGTCGGTTTACGTTCCTAGCCTCACCTATGGTCATGAGCTCTGGGTAGTGACCGAAAGAATGAGATTGGAAATACAGGCAGTTGAAATGAATTTCTTCTGCAGGGTAGCTGGACTCTCCCTTAGAGATAAGGGGAGAAGTTCAGTTATCTGGGAGAGATTCAGAGTAGAACTGCTGCTCCTCCACATGAGAGGAGCCGGTTGAGGTGGTTCGGGCATCTGGTAAGGATGCCCCCTGGGTGTCTCCCTAGGTAGGCGCTTCTGGCATGTCCAACAAGGAGGAGACTCCGGGGAAGACCTAGGACATACTGGAGAGACTATGTCTCTTGGCTGGTCTGTGAACACCTTGGAGTTCTAGAAGAGCTGGAAGAGGTGGCTGTGGAATGAGATGTCTGTGTCTCCCTGCTCAAGTT